CTGCTGTCAAATTGTTTTAAGCATTGCTGGGCATTTGAGTTGAAGTGAAAGAAAATAAGCATATAATATTCTATGATAGAATGTCTGAAGTTTGCATGGGAAAGCAGAGTACATAAAAATAAATGTGCATTCTCCTGGCAATAAACTCATTGTAAATATTCAGATGAAATAGTAACTTTTTTTTTTAGGAAGTATGCTTGCTGTAGCTAATACGGAAAACATCTACAGAGAAGATGTTTATAAAGAAATAATCTAAATAGTTGTACAGAATAACACATTTAAGATAGTTTGTATTTACTATGTGAAACTTCATGATGGTGTTTGTGAATTATGTGGAGTGATCAAATGTATGCCGTTTAAGATCACTCAGTCTTGAAACTGGTGGTTAGAATGAACAGCAAATCCTGCATTTGCTTATAAGCAACCACTCAGAGAGCTTCATAATTTTCCCACTGTTCATTTCTGCACCATCAGACCATAGTTGATTTGATACCTGTCAATCAAAGAAAGCAAATCCAACCCTCTTATCTAATTTTTCTATTTGTCACTTAAACAACTATCAGTGAAGGATTCAGCAAAATGCTGTGTTCACACAAACAATGCTTAAAATGCGGTGTGCTTGTTTCATCCTCATTCTAATATCAAGTCCTCCCTCCAGTGGCTGCTGTAACAGTTTTTTACTTTGTCAAAATGAGCTGTAAATACTCTCGCTCTAAGCCATTATTTATTTATTTTGGTGTTTCTAGCATGGCAAGTGAACCTGTGATGTATTCTTTGCTTAGTAGCAGGGCCATTATCTGTTAAAGGAAGAGGAAGAGTATCCATAGTAAAGACAAGAATGCTGGGGTTTCTTGGTCATTGCATTGGTTTATCTGATTAGGGGATGGAGTTTAATTTATTAAGGTAAACCTGTTCAGATAACTTCTGTTTCTTCCCTTGAGGAACAGCAAGATTTTGAGCACCTGTATGTACTTTGTGACTGTATTCACTTATCTATATCCAATTAATGAGTTTTCAGATCTTACGTAGGGAGGACTACCCAATTTGTATGACTAGAATATTTTTAATCTGGGCTACCACTGTCACTTTCAAGCACTTTGGATAATTTTAACTGGGGTGGGTTGGTTATTTCCTGAATTATTTACAAGCCTGTACCTAGTTTTGTGCTGCAAATGTGCAAACTGATGATGGATAAGATTTTCTATTTGGTGGTACTTTGTCACTGTACTATTTGGAGGCATCTGAGAAAAGTCTTTTAGTAACATCCATATGTGTGATTTGACATTTGAGTAATTTTAATATTTACATTACCTACATTATACACTAGAAAATGGAAAAAAAGTCTCTGAGGTTTTGCCCTTATTTTTGTTGATTACTTTTATTATGAGTGCTAATGTGATTAAAGTTTTAACCAAAAGATGCACATTTTAAGTCAATCATAATGAGTTGCATCATAATTTTAAAAGTCCACAGTCTAAGCAGAGCTTTCCTGGTGGACTTGTGCCTTTAAAATCTTTTGGCAGTATACTCCAGTTACCCATCAGCCTGATCTGAACAGGCTCTGCAAAGGAAGGTGTCAGGGTGTCTTGTAGGTCCAACTTGTAGAATGGACTGTTGGACTTCCTTGAACCCAAATGTAAACAAACAAACAAACAACACCCTCACCCCAAGACCTATCCTTGGTTAATAACTGTTACCCCCTTCTGTTGCTGTATTTTTCCTTACTCTACAAGAAAATGTTTAATGTAATAAGTTGTCTCTACAGACAACAGAAGAATAGTCTTTATTATGCTTTATTTATTGATATTTTTTTCTACTGCCTTTACAATGAACTGCTCTTACTTAAAATAAACCATTGTGGGGTTCATTCTTGCAGGTGTGAGTATTAGGGGCCCATTAATACAGTCGGTGAATCCTATTACTCTTTGTTTGCGAGTTACAAATTGTAACAGAGATAGAGTTCATGCAAACTCATCCATGGTAAAGTATGTTGGGGGGAAGAATAAAGCGAATGGGTCATGTCTGAGAGATGAAACAAAGAAACAAAAAAGATGAAGGGAAAAAAAATACAGTGCACAGAAATTGCTTTATTGAGAAGGATGAGGCAGTGATTGTGATGTGGTAGTTTGCTCCCTGATGTCAGATTCAAGATGAAAGAGATCACAGATTGGAATGTCTGGATTGCTTTAAGAGCAATAGCAGAAATTTAGAAATATATTTTGCTTGTAAATTCTCACCTTGACTACATTGAGGTTTGTTCTGTAACTGGACATTTGCTCTCTATGTTTCAATGCAGATAATGTGTTGTAGAAATCATAGTGGTTTGAAGCTACGTGCACCTTGTAGTTTTACTAAAACAAAACTGTATATTACAGTAAGAGCAATAAAGTAGAGTTAGTTGATGACGAAAATCCTTGAAGATTCTGTTGGTTATGTTTTCACTTGTACTTTGGACTTTGACTTGTGGTGCTTCTCTAAAGGGCTTATCATTTACTGACGTTACATTAGCATCAAGGAGAGGTATTGATTAGATAGATGTCCTCTCAAGATTAGGGCGAAGTTAGTGTTCACTCTTGTGAACTTGAATCTTTGAACCCGGCTTGATACTGGAGTCTACTACTTTCTTGTAAAGTGTCTAAATCTAGAGTAGTGTAATGAGACTACAGTGTCCAGTATAAGTTTTGAAGGAGAGGAAAAAGTTAAATTTAATTTTACTTCAGATATTGTAGCCATTTATACTGCTCAGGAAAGTTTTGCTTTTGGAGCAAGTTCTGGTTTTCTGTGATGTGAGCAGTAGCAAATGAGTTCTCTTGAAGTAGAAGTCAGTAAATATTTCCAACTCTTGTTGATTTTCAGATTGTTCTTCGAAGATTAATGTACTGTTACCTCAGTATTTTAAATCTGTTGACAGTTTGGGTGATGATGGCTCAGCTCCAGCAAGGAGGCCCAGATGAAAAAGAGAAGACTACTGCATTAAAGGGTATGAGTCTTTTGTCTTCTTTTTACATATATTAATGTTTCAAAAACAATTATTAAGGGAAGGAAAATTATTTTATATAACTACAGGTTAGAGTCTGGGAATTGCAATACTGGAAGAGACTATTAGACCATCTCTGCTAATGCTTTTTATCTAATCGTGTGTCCATTATCAGTGCTTTCATAAGATTATATATAAAACCAACTGTCTGTGGTAAGAAATAACACAATAAGGTATCCATTATTTATTATTGGCATAATTATCTTTTGAGAACGTTGACTGGTGCTTTTGTGTTCTTCATTTCTGGGAGTTATCTGGGAGTTAATTTTTATGGCACTTATTTTTTTTAGTTATGGCGCGACAGTAGAGATTTCAGAATCTCTTTGGCTAGAATGCTAGCAGGAAAAACATTTTCAGGAGTTTGGTTTCCAGTTTGATTTTATAAAGATTTTTGTCTATTTTACATTAAAAAAAGCATCAGATTTCTACCAAAGTATTATTAGAAACAGATGTTTTATTACACAGTGATGGTAGATGGTGTTTTTTCAGTTAAAACTGTTTATTTGTGAAATGTTTGGTGAAAACCTATGTGCTGCTTTTTACAAACCTTGTACTAATTTTATTGAATTTGTGTATTTTTAATAAATTATACTTCATGTTTGTAAAAGTGAAAGTCCCATTTTGTTCTTAGTGTTTATATTATCTTCATCAAGAATTAATGTCCAAGAAACATTCCACATCATGAAAACTTTGTGTGAGGATATTGTTTTCTTCATGTAATCTAGTTGAACTCCCATTGAGCTGTGGAAGGTCTCCTAAATATCTCTCAGTTTTGGGGTCTGTTGAACTAGTCTTTATTTGAGGTGAAGAGTCCAAGATCTTAGGCAACAATGACAGATCAGATCTTGAAAGAATCTCAAAGCTGTAAGAACACTTTAGTTAATTTGGATTGCAAGATGGCACAGGAAGAAAGTGGCTATGTTGATGGGTGGACCAGAGTCCAGTTACAGCCTTCTAGAGTGACTCTGATGGAGACTATAAGTCATGACAAGCTTTACATTCTGCAGATTATCTTGATATAGTTCATACAATTGTTGCCCTTACTACTCAGGAAACGGATGTTTTATTATATAGTAACTGACACTTCTGTGTAAACGCATTTCCAAATAGGTAACAGTAAAACCCTGGTCAAACCAAATCCTAGAGATGTGGTGTGACTGGAGTCTCTTCACCAAGGAGAGAAAGACATGATAAAGATTGTTCTGCTACCTTGATGCTGTGAAAGTACAGAGGAAGAAAGGACATGCATTTTACATCCTGCTCTGAAAAACGTTTTTGACAAGGTTCTTTTCTTTCTCCTGTGATTTGATTGAGGACCAAAGCAGTTTCTCCAGACCTTTCAAAGGACAGTGCACAAGGACAAGCATATGATGGCTTATGTGAATTGAATGTCATGGGGCTTCCTGTCAAACATATTTGATGGAAAATTGAGCTGTGGTTGAGAAAGCCACGTTTAGAAACCTGCCAGTCGATGTCCACTACAATATGGCTATTTAGAGACCACAGAGATGCTCAGATACACTAGTATGGGTTGGAGAGCCTTTGGTCCAGCAGCTTTTCCAAGTGAAATCACTTACGGAAAAAGGAGCTGGTGAAGGCAATTGTATGGGCGATGGAGTGAATGTCATGTATACCTGAAGAGTCACAAAAGAGCAGGCCAAGGAACTATCATGAACCTAGCAGCTAATTTCCAATGCATATAGCTAATGTCAAGCAAAGCAAGTTTAAAGAAAAATATTTTCAAACTGTTTTCTTTCCTTTGAGCTGCTACTTTGGATGGTAAAGGTAATAAACCAATGTACTTAGAATACTTAATGAATTTCCTTGGTAATACATGGTTATCTTGATTTGTGAAACTGTAATAGTGAAAAGTCAGTGTAGCTCTTCTAAACTGAATGTTTGTATAGTCTGCAAATTAATCTACAAGGAAGTAGGAAAGTGTATTTGGGTTTAGGAAAGGAACGTCCTGCCTGATCAATCTCATCTCCTTCTATGACTGGCTGACCCGCTTAGTCAATGAGGGGAAGGCTGTGGATGTGGTCTACCTCAACTTCAGCAAGGCCTTTGACACAGTCTCCCACAGCATCCTTCTGGAGAAGCTAGCAATCCAAAGCTTTGACAGGTGCACCCTTTGTTGGGTTAAAAACTAGCTGGATGACTGGGCCCAGAGAGTGATAGTGAATGGAGCTGCATCCAGCTGGTGTCCGGTGACCAGCAGTGTCCCCCAGGGATCAGTACTGGGCCCAGTCCTGTTCAACATCTTTACTGATGACATGGATGTGGGGATTGAGACCACCCTCAGTAAGTTTGCAGATGACACGAAGCTGAGGGGAAGTGTCAGTCTGCTGGAAAGGAGGAAGAAGCTGCAGGAGGACCTGGACAGGCTGGGTTGATGGACTGGGGCCAACAACATGAAATTCAACAAGAGCAAGTGCAGGGTCCTGCACTTTGGCCACAGTCACCCCCTGCTGAGCTTCAGGCTGGGGCAGAGTGGCTGGAGAGCAGCCTAGCAGAGGGAACTGGGAGCACTGGTTGACAACTGGTGCAGTTCTGTGCCCCTTACTGCAAGAAGGACATTGAGGTGCTGGGGCAGGTCCAGAGGAGACAATGAGGCTGGTGAAAGGACCAGAGGGGAAGTCTTTAAAGGGGAGGCTG